GGGGGGGGTTGGTGTTAAAGTTGTATGAGTTCCTCTCATTGAAAGTATTATTTGGGAAGATCTCCCACTGAGTAGGTTGTCTTTTTATTTTGTTGGTAGTTTCTTTTGCTGTGCAAAAACTTTAAGTTTGATGTAGTCCCGTTTGTTATTTTTTCTATCATTGCTCTGCCCCAGAAGACATATCCAAAAAGATGCTAAGAGTGATGTCAAATAATTTACTGCCTGTTTTCCTCTAGGACTTTTATGGTTTTAGGTCTGTAAGACTTTAATCCAGTTAATTTTTGTATATGGTCAAAGAAAGTGGTCCAATTTCATTGTTTTGCATGTATCTGTCCAGTTTTCCCAACACTATTTGTTTTTACCCTATTGTATATTCTTACCTCCTTGTCATAAATTAATTGCCCACATAGGTGTGGTTTTATTTCTGTGCTCTCTAATTCTGTTTCACTGATCTGTGTCTGTTTATATGCCAGTACCATGCTGTTTTGATTAGTATAGCCTTGTGGTATAGTTTGATATCAAATAGCATGATACCTCTAACTTTGTTCTTCTTTCTTAAGATTTCTTTGGCTATCCAGGGTCTTTTGTGGTTCCATATAAATTTTAGGATTGTTTGGTTTTGCATCCTTTCATTTATTTGTGTGTTCTTCAATTTCTTTCTTCAGTGTCATGCAGTTTTCAGAATATAGGTCCTCTATCTTTTTGGTTAAATTTATTCCTAGGTATTTTCTTCATTTTGACGCAATTGTAAATGGTATTGTTTTCGTAATTTCTCTTCCAAATGGTTCAATAATAGTTCATTATTGGTGTATAAAAATGCAACCCATTTCTGAATATTAATTTTGTATCCTGCTACTTTACTGAATTCATTTATTAGTTCTGATCATTTTTTGGTAGAATCTTTAGGGTTCTCTTTATATAGTATTATGTCATCAGCAACTAATGAGAGTTTTACTTCTTCCTTTCCAATTTGGATGCCTTTTATTTCTTACTCTTGTCTGATTACTATGGCTAGGACTTCCAATACTATTTTGAATAAAACTGGTGAAAGTAGACATCCTTATCTTGTTCCTAATCTTAAAAAGCTTTCAGTTTTATGCCATTGAATATAATGTTAGTTGTGGATTTGTTATATATGTTGAGCTATGTTCCTTCTATCCCCACTTTGCTGAGAGATTATATCAAAAATGGATGTTGGATTTTGTCAAATACTTTTTCTTCATCTATTGATGTTATGTTATCATGTGATTTTTCTCCTTTAATTTGTTTATGTGGTGTATCATGTTAATTGATTTGCAGATATTGAACCAGCCTTGCATCCTAGGAATAAATCCCACTTGATCAGGGTATATGATCTTCTTAATGTATTGCTGAATTTGGTTTGCTAATATTTTGTTGAAGAGATATTTGCATCTATGTTCATCAAGGATATTGACCTAAATTTTTCTTTCTTTGTATTGTCTTTTTCTCGTATTGGTATCAAAGTAATGCTGGCCTCATAAAATGAATTTGGGAGCCTTCCCTCTTTGTCAGTTTTTTGGAATTGTTTGAAAAGAATAGATATTAATTCTTTGAATATTTGGTAAAATTTACCTGTGAAACCATCTGGTCCAGAACTTCTGTGTGTTGGGAGTTTTTTGGTTACTGATTCTATTTTAGTAGTTATTGGTCTGTTTGGATTTTCTGTTTCTTCCTCATTCAGTCTTGGAAGAGTGTATGTTTCTAGGAATTTATCCATTTCTTCCAGGTTGTCTAATTTGTTGGTATGTGGTTGTTTGTAGTATTTTCTTCCAATCCTTTGCATTTCTATGGTTCAGTTGTCACTTCTCTTTCATTTCTTATTTTATTTATTTGGGTCCTCTTTTCTTCTTGATGAGTTAGTCTAGCTAAAGATTTCTTAATTTTGGTTATCTTTTCAAAGAACCAGCTCATAATTTCATTAAATTTTTTATTGTATTTTTAGTCCCTCTTTTGTTTATTTCCATTCTGATCTTTATTATTTCCTTTCTTCTACTCACTTTGGGCTTTGCTTGTTGTTGTTTTTTTTCTAATTCCTTTAGGTGTAAGGTTATATTGTTAATTTGAGATTTTTCTTGTTTCTTGAGGTAGGCCTTTATTGCTGTGAATTTCCTTCTTAGGACTGCTGTGGCTGTGACCCATATATTTTGGATCATTGTATTTTCATTTATCTCAAAGTATCTTTTCATTTACTTCTTGATCTTGTTGTTAACCCATTCATTGTTTAGTATGTTATCTAGCCTCCACATATTTGTGTGTTTTTCAGTTTTCTTCTTGTAATTTATTTACAGTTTCGTACCATTATGATAGGAGAAGGTGCTTTATATGGTTTCAGTCTTCTTAAATTTATTGAGACTTGTTTTGTAGCCTGACATGTGGTCTATCTTGGAAAATGTTCCATGTGCACTTGAAAATAATGTATATTCTGTTGCTTTTGTATGTTCAAAAAATACTAAGTTCATTTGACCTAATTGGCATTTAAGTGTCTTTCTATTTGAAGTGAGTTTCTTGTAAGCAGCATATAGATGGGTCATGTTTTTTAATCCATTCAGCCATCCTGTGTCTTTTTATTGGAGCTTTTAGTCCATTTACATTAGTAAATTTATATGTATGTACTAAAATAATTGATGTGTATGTACTTATTGCCATTTTGTTAATGTGGTGGGTTTTTTTTTAATAGTTCTCTGTTTCTTTTCTGTTGTCTTTCCTGTGGTTTGCTGTTTTTAATATTTGTTTGGATTCCTTTCTGTGTTTTTTGTCTATATTTTGTATGTTTTTAGTTTGTGGCTACCATGAGATTTTGTATATCATTCTATATCTATAGCAGTCTATTTTAAGCTGATAGGCATTTAAATTGAAATGTATTTTATAAGGACCGCATTTTTACAACCCTCTCCATGGTTTATGTTTTTGTGTTGTTTTAGATCTTTTCCTGTTGTGTATCTCCTAACTATGTATTGTAGTGCGAGTCGAGTTTGATACTCTTACATTTGACCTTTGTAGTAGCTTTTTAGATGTCAAATTCACTATATTTATTAAATGTTTGCCTTTACCTGTGAGATTTTTCCCTTTCTCATATTTTCTTATTTCTGATTATGGCCTTTCCTTTTCTGTTTAAAGAAGACCCTTTAACATTTCTTGTATAACTGGTTTAATGGTGATGAACTCCTTTAGTTTTTGCTTGTCTGGGAAACACTCTCTCCTTCAATTCTGCATGAAAACCTTGCTATGTGAATAATTCTAGGTTGTAGGTTCCTTTCAGCACTTTAAAAATGTTCTGCCGCTCCTTTCTGGCCTGTAAAATTGCTGCTGAGAAATCAGCTGAAATCATTCCAATATTTCCTTTTCTATAACTCATCATTTACTTTGTGATTCCTTCCAGATTGTTTCTTTAACTTTTGCCATTTTAATTACAGTATGTCTTGGTGTGGGTCTCTTTGGGTTCCTCTTGTTTGGAACTCTCTTTGCTTTCTGGACCTGGATGTCTGTTTCCTTTCCCAGATTAGGAAAGTTTTCAGCCACTATGTGTTTAAATAAAGTTTCTGTTCCTGTCTTTCTGGGATTTCTATAATGTGAATGTTTGAGCATTTGATGTTATCCCAGAGGTCCCTTAAACTATTCCTTATTTTCTAAAATTTTTTTCTTTTTGCTATTCTGATTGGCTGATTTCCACTAGTGTATCTTCCAAGTCACATATCTGTTTTTCTGTATTAGTCTGTTGTTGATTCCTGTTAATGTTTTTCATTTCTGTCATTGTAGTCTTCAGTTCTACTTGGTTATTTATTATACTTTCTAATACTTCATTGAAGTTCTGCCTAAGTTCCTCTATTCTACTCCCAAATTTGGTGAGCATTCTTATGACTGTTGCTTTGAATTTTTTTATCAGGCAAATTATCCTTAAGTAATTTGTTTCCTTAAGGTTTTTTAAAATTAATTTTATTTTTTATTAAATTTATTAGGGTGACATTTTAGTGGGGTTTTTTCCCTGGGGATTTTTCTTGTTCCTTCATTTGAGAGATAGTTTTTTCATTTTGTTTGACTTTCTGTATGTGTTTATATGAATTAGACAAAATAGCTCTCTTCCCATCTTGAAAAAGTGGCCTTAGGTAGAAGCGGGCTCTTTGTAGACTGTGTGTGTCAGGTGGCTTTGGCAGGCTGGTAGGGGCCTAACAGGTACCTAAGGTATACAGGGCACTGTCCTTCCAACCCAGAACAGCTCCAGGTGTGTGTAGTAATGTCCTGTGGATTGTGCTTGCTCCCTTTGGCTCAGGTGATGTGTCTGGGAACTCACTGCAGCAACCTTGCAGGTAGGCTAGAGTACCTACATAGAGCCCCCACCTACGCTGTGGAGGTGGAGGGGGGTGTAAAGTGTTCACTTAGCCCTCCATCCTGAGTATTCCCGTGGTTCCTGGAGAGCTCCCGTGGCTTCCCAGCCTTCTCTATGCAGTCTCCTCCTCATATTTAGAAGCTATTCACTCAGTCCTCAGTTGTCTTGAAGTAACTGCTTGCTCTATATAGGGTGTCCCCCCAAAAATGTATACACACATTTTGAATAATTATAAAGGCAGTGTTTATTAAAATACATTTCATTTTCAAAATTGACCTACCAGCTGTTAAAGTGTGTATATATTTTTTGGACACCCTGTATGTGTATACTTGATTTTGTTCATGGTTGAGTTCCATATCCTCCTATGCCACTGCCATCTTGGACCTCTAGATGCAGGCACCTTTATATCTATACTTGGGAAGGAGGGTCTGAGAGTTCATGGAGGGTGGGCTCAGCCTGGAGACCTCACGCACTGAGGTCCAAGGGAGGAAGGACAGAGTGGATCTACAGGGGGTGGCAGGGAAGGGGAGGGGACCCATCTCCTGTTTCCCTTTGAATGGGCAGTCAGGCTGCCCCCTGCAGACAAGGGAAGGACATCAGGAAGGTGGGGTTCTCAGTAACTCCTCAGGTCAAGGAACAGGAGCCAGTGTTGACCACGGCCTGTGGGCTCCCTCCTCTGTATGGTGTGAGGGGAGGAAGCTGGACTACCTCTGCATTGGGGATTGGGGGTATGGTATAGGACTCCAGTGAAGATGGGACTCTGGCTCTTCCGCACAAAATTCCTAGTCTGCTCTACCCCGTCCTGAAAACTCCAGGATGTCTCAAGTTACTCAAGTCTGGCCAGGAGCCTGGTACATCCTGGCCAGGAACGTTGAGTGGACAGGGAGGAGCTGGCATGAAAGGTCAAATCCACTTTCCTGGTGGGTCTGCCTGAGGCTGGAGAGCAGGTTGTTGGGCATTTTGGGTAGGGCAGTGAACCCCACTCTTGACCCAGATTTCATTCATACTCCCTTGTGCCCAAGGAGAGGCGGGAGCTGACTTCTGCCCCAGGAAAGGAAGCAGTTGGCATATGCTCAATGGGGGGGAGGGGGATCCTTCACAGTTCCTGAGGGGCAGTCCTAGAAGTTAATGTGCGGGGAGCCCAGCCTGGGTTTCAACATTTGGGAGGGATTTTTCTTCCTTTCCTCCAAGAAGGTGACAGAATCACTCAGACCCCAAGAATTTTACCCAGAAGACCCCTCCTTGGAGAAGAGACACATCCCTTGATTCCCCGGAAGCACCGTGTTTATTTAATGCAAGTTGGTGCTAGTGTTCAGCTTCCCCCTTTCCTCCTTAGGACACACCCAAGATCACACACTCTTAGGACAAAAATGGGAGTTACAGACCTGCCCTGACTCCAGTGCTGACCCCTTCATGGAAGGCAGAGGTCCAAGAATTCAAAGACAGGAAGGGACATCCATGGACTATATTGGGGCTTTTAGCCCAGGCACTCGAGTGTGCCAGGAATGAGGTGAGCCTGCTTTGGTGAGGTCTAAAGCCTTGAGAAGTCCAAGCCTAATCTCTGCCATTGCAGAGAGGCATCTCCTGGCTAAAGGTCTGTCACTCTACAGGCCAGGGAGCTCAGAAAGCCTCCATGTGGCTGTGAGGGGACCTCTAGTCCCATTGCCCATCCCCACCTTTCACGTTGTTCCTGGCTGGTTACAGAAGGCACGCACACACTCTGGGACGAGAGCCTGGGTGGATTCTGGTGCCACCTGTTCTGTGTGGCCTTGGACAGTCACTTTACCTCTCCAAGACCATCTCCTCCACCACAATATGGGATGCTGGTCCCCAGGGTTGTTAAGAAACCCACCACCCTGCCACCACTCTCCCACTCATTTCTGAGAATGGCTCCTCCTCAAATCATGGGGCCAAGACTATATCCCAAACTCAGCAAGCTTGGTCCCCATCCTTCCACTGACAGTTCAGAAATCACATGTCAACATGGCAGCTTTAATCATCTTGACCAAGGTCCCTCAGGCTCCCTCCACTGTAGGCCTCCTTAGCCACATGCCTACCCCTGACCATGCCCAGACACTTTATTTTCAGGTGGCCCCTGACCTATGGTCACTGAGGTTGTGTCAATCTGGGGCTCTCTGCCCTGGAGGCCTGTTGGGCACTTGGGCGGGGAATTAAGCAGCCCTGAGCCTGCTTATCTCGCCATTTCCAGCTGCTCCTAGGGAATGTGGCTTGGGCCCTCTCCTGGGGTAGGTCCAGTGGTGGTGGGAGGCTGGTTAGGAGGAGTATCTCCACCACTGCAGCAGGTTTTTCTTCTGAGTCAAACCTTTGTGCTTTGAGACTGAAGTGAAGAGAAGAGCTTCTGGGGGCTGAGGCCCAGCCCCAGGTCCTCGAGGCAGGAGAAACACGGAGAAGTTGGCTGCCTCACAGCACAAACAGGGGGATGGTCACACGTGAGCATCCACATCCTCCACTGCCACAGGGGTATGGCATGGCCCAGTGACCCATCAGAGCTTCCAGATCAGGATGCAAGGGAAGACCTCAGGGGAAGACCAGGCCCCAAACTTCCCAGAAGGATCCCCAGGCCTGCAGGGGCATCTGAGAGGCTGGAGTCCTGACCCAGCTGGGCCTCAGGGGAGAGAGGAGGCCTTAGAGCCAGCTCCCAGAGCACTCTTGAGTCCAGACAAGCTTCTACCAGCTCTTTTGGGTTCCCTGGTCTCCATATTAGGTACAGCCTGGGAAGACAGGTCTTTAGCTAACGGCCACTGCGGTCTGTGAGAGTCTTGGCACGGCTGCCATTCCCTCGGAGGTCCACTGGGGTGGTGGTGCTGTTGGCATATGTGTCATAACTGTTGTCTGAACATACAGAGAGCTCATCGGAGACCTCCATGCCATCGCTGATCTCTGTGGGGGCAGAAGAGGTCAATGAGGATGGCAAGAAGATACTGTGGGAAGGGTGGCCTGCAGTGCTCCTGGTCAGGAACTTGGAGGCTGATGAGACCACTGGGTTCAGATTTAGTATTGAGCTTGGTATTCAAGGCCCTCCTTGGTGTCTCCTCTCCCCTGGAACTCTTCCTTCTAGCCACAGAAAACAATCTGCATCCTTCTGAGCTTGGCACCCATGTGTTTACTCTCCTCAGGGCCTTTTCATATACTGGCCCCTCTCCTGGGAGTGACCTCCCATCAACACCTTTTCTTAAAATCTGGCTTATTCCTCTCATCTCTGTTACTGCAGTCTCCTGAAAGCCTCCCCTGACTGCCCCCTCCCCTGGTTAGGATGGGACTCCCCTGCTTGCCCCCTACCCCATCACATCCTGTACTGTCACTGTCTGTGGCCCCCACCATCTGGAGCACCTCAAGGATAGGGGTAATGTCTGGGCATCTGTGTCCCCAGTGCCTGGCATAGTGCCAGACACAGCAGAGGCCCAGGAAAGGTCTGCTGAGTAGAGCTGAGCCCACCCTGAGGAGACTCAGAGTTCCTTGGGG